CTCCCAGCTCCAGTGCCTGATCAGATACACAAACAAGCCCCTGAGGACAGCAGCACTGAAACCCCCCCCCCCCCCCGACACGCTGCACTGCTGGCCCCAAACACAGCCTCCGGTGGAAGGCCCCCCCCTCCTTCCCCAGCTTTCTCTCTCTCTGTGTCTGTCACCCACAACTCCAGAGACCAAGCAGCTTTGCCCGTCAAGGTGCAGCATAATTTCTCCCAACATTCTGGATCACCCACAAGGGCCAAATGAAAGGGTTTTGGTCCCCCAACCAAGGACATCCCAAGGTCCACAACGAGTCCAGCGTGATTCTGTGAAGGAAGGTGACAAACGACTCCCTGTCCTGACCAGTGTTCCCTCTCAGCTGAGCTAGTGTGAGTTAGGTCATCGTTTTTTAGCCTCCGGCTCACACATTTTTGTCTCAGCTCAGGAAGGAGAGCTCCAGAGCAAACTATGCAGTAGCCCAATTGCCAGCCCACAACTTTATTGCCAGTCGCTCACAGAGTAGAATTTTTGCTCACAGAACTCCACAGCTTAGAGGGAGCATTGACTGCCAGTCCTGAGGCCTCTCACATCACCTGCTGCCTGGCGAAGAGATGCCTCTGGGGATTGAACCTGGGTCCTCCTGCGTGCCAGGCAGAGGCTCTTCCACTGAGCCACTGCCTCTAGCAGCATAGGCCAGATTTCAAAGGAGGGGCTGCGAGAGTCAGATGGAAGCCTTCCCGTAAGCTGCCACCCTCTTGGGAGACTCAACCCCAAAAGGAGCACCCCTGTAGAAGTTACAGAGGTGGGCAAACCGTGTCTGACTGCTGCAACTATCCAGAGGTTCCTCCTCATGTCCAGAATAGCCCTTCACAATGGATGGGGAAGGGCCAGGCACTCGGCCCCCAGGGGGGACACCCCTGCTGCTGCTGGGAAGGAGGCGGCTCCCCACGGTCAGCACTGGCCAGGCAGCCAAGTGTCGCTACCCAGGCACTTGGGGGGGGGGGGAGGTGGATGTACTGGACCTGGGAAGCACATTCCAAGTGTGCCAGGCAAGCCGCTCCCTAGGAAGTGCCCAGGAAAAATACCAGCCCCTTGTTCCCCTGGCAATACCCACCTCCGCCGGTCTCGGAACCTAATCTGCTGCTCCAGTCAAGCACGTGACTGTGGTGTATTTTGCAGAAGAGCCAAATTCTGGATTCTGCAGCCATCCCCTATTATGCAAATCAAGCCAGTTCAGGATCTCCTCGGTGGGAATTATTCTAGTCTGGGTCACTATGAGGAGGGGAGACACCACCGAAGAAGCCCTCTCCCCACTGGTCTGGCTCTCACTCTCCAGGTTCCTGCAGACGAATGATTCCCCAGCCACGCGCCTTCACAGCCCTAAGGTCAAGATCCGCAGAGGGCTGAAGCCAAGCCACCCAAACAGTTCTTCCCGGGGAATCACAGAACACCACACACGTGGCCCTTCCTGGGCATTGCCACACACACGCCAAGGCACCAATATCCCAAGATTCACCAAGTGAGTGAACGGAGAGAGAGAACTGTCAAGCCCAGCTGAGGGACCAACCAGCATGGCCTCCGGGAGATCCTGCCTTGCCCCAACCTTGGGAGTTTCCAGAGGCTCACAGGCATGTGGAGAAGGAGGAGTCAGCAGACAGCAGGAACCCGGCCTGTTCTGGACAAGGCCCCTCGCCAAAGACCCCTCAAGTGACAGGTGTAACGGGGGAAGCTCTCTCTCTCTCTCAAGGGTGGCCAGCGGGCCCCTTCAGGGGTCAGGACCGGTGCTGAGTTTGTTCCTGCCTGGTTTGGAATGGGGTTGTGGCTGTGTTTAGTATAGCCAAGTCTGCAAATGACACCAAATCATTCAGGATGCTGAAGACCAAGGATGCCTGTGAAGAGCACCAGGAGGACCGCCACCAATCAGGTGAGCAAGACTGGAGTCCGGCAGCACCTTCAGACCCGACAAGAGTCCCCTGGTGAGGCACACTCCTGAAACGTACCTGAACCGGACGAGCAGGCGACAACACGGCAAAAGAAATTCAGTGGGTCCCAACGTAATGCTCCCTTCAAGCTGTGGAGCCTCGTGAGCCATAATTCTACCGTGTGAGTCACTGGCATTAACGTTATTATGAGTGAGCGGCTACGGCATCAGTCAGTTGGCTCTGGAGCCTTCCTTCCCGAGCTGAGAGAAAAATGTGTGAGCTGGAGGCTAAAAAACTGTGAGCTGGCTCACATTAACTCAGCTTAACTCAGTGGGAACACTGGCCAGGTGTTGCACACCAAAACAAAAAATCCTAACTGATTATCAATGCCGATGGTTTCTGAACTGGCTGAAAGAGATCATAGTAAATAGCTTGATGAAAACATTGACCCAGCATGTGGCAGCAGCGACAAAAGCAAACTCCATCCTGGGGCTATTATTAAGAAAGGGGCGGAGAAGAAAAAGACAGTCCCCGACTAGAGCCATGGGGTAGCCTCACGTGGAGTCCGGTGTGCTGCTCTGGTCACTGCTGAGCTGGAAGAAGTAGCGAGGGGGGCAACCAAGACGCTTAAGGGGTTGAAACACCTCTCCTGTAAGGAAAGGCTACAGAGCCTGGGACTTCTCTGCTGGAATAAAGGCTGGCCCAGGGGAGACCGATAGAGGCGTATGAAAGCACACCCCGGGCAGAGAAGGCTGACCGAGAGAACTCCCCTCCCCCCCAAATACTAGGACTTGAGGGCACCCAACGAAGCGGATGGGCAGCAGATCCCGGATGGGACATGAGGAAATACTTCTTCAAACCATGAGCGATTCAAACATGGGATTTGCTGCCATGTAGTGACGGCCACAGGCACAGACGGCTTTAAATGGGGATTAGACAGACTCACGGAGGAGAAGACCGATCAGTGGCTGCTAGCCACGGTGACTCAAGGGAACCTCCACTTTCACAGGCGGCCAACCTGCCACTCCCAGAGCTGGGAGGCAGCATCAGGGAAAGGCCCTCCAGAGGGACTGGCTGGCCCCCATGTGAGACAGGAGGGCGGACTAGAGGGCTCTTCTCGTGGTCCTGAGAGACAGAGCTTCAGCATCTCAGCTACCTTGAGATCCGAGAAGGGAACAGAACCCAGGTGCTGTCGGTGCTCAGGGGAGAACGGGGGGAGGGGGCCGCACTCCATTTGGGCAGGGATGCCGGGGTGGGGGGAGAGAAGAGGCCAGGCTGAGCCATGCCTGTTGGGAGCCACCTGCCTCCGTCTCTTGGGGCAGCGTCCGCGGGAAGGCTTGACTCCACGGGGGGGGGGGACCTTGCTGCATTTCTAAACCGAGGCCAGAAGAGGGGCTCAGAGCCACCCCCAGGCAAGCCAAGGGGCTTTCTTTGTGGCTCCTCCTGCTGGAGAGATTCACACTCCCCCCCCCCCATGTGTCTAGCGCTCCCCACCAACCTTGGCTTGCTTTTCCCTGTTTCCCACAGCATGAGTGTTTTGCTTTAAGAAACAACCACCCTCCCCCAGTTGGAGGACCAACGGAGGACTCCGTCGCAGACCCACCTGAAGGAACGCGAAGAACCGTGGATGCTTCTGACTGCGGCAGCCCATGAGGCCCACCCCGTGGCCACGCCCCTCTGCCCGCGCAAAGCCCGGAGGGGAGCTCAGCCCCTTCGGCAAAGCCAGGGAAACCAGCCCGAGGAGGAGCACGTGTCGTGCGGGGCTCCGGCAGGAAGGAGACAGGCCCCCTGTGGCTCCCACCCTTCTGCCCAGGCCAGCAGATCCCCAACCCTCACCCCAAGTCAGGACTGGAGCCCCCCACCCCCACCCATGGCCCCGCCCCCCCACCTCACAAAGCCAAGCGCCTCCTTCCCACCCGGGCCCAGTCTGAGAAGACTGGGCTGGATTCCACGTTCTGCTCCTTTCCCAACTGAAGATTCATTCCCACGGCCACTCGAAGCTACCACCCTCCGCTGATCCAGAGGCAGCTGAGCCTCACGCGAGACACCGGGGGGGGGAGCCCCCCCCCCAAAGTGCCGCTTATAGGAAAACCACCCGGGAGGCTGTTCACACTGTGTGAGTGCGGGGTGTGTGTGCGTTGTCTGTGGTTTCTTTGGAGCCCTGCTGCGTGTGGGGGGGGGGGGGGCAGTGAGACGAAGGTGCACAGGCCAGGGCCCAGGCTCCCTCCAAGCCGCGGAGACACCCCCGTGAGCAAAAGTTCTCCTTTGTGAGCTCCTGGCATTAGACGTTGTGAGTGGGCAACTTAGCTACTGAGTAGGTCAGTTGGCTCGGGAGCCCTCCTGCCTGAGCTAAAGCAAAGACGCGTGAGCCGGAGGCTTAAAAACGGTGAGCTGGCTCACACCCACTCAGCCGAGAGGGAACCCTGGTCAGGGGACCCACTGAGGCTGCTGGGGGGAGAGGCAGGGCAGCTCCGGGGCTTGCGGTTTCACCGCCTGGCACCCAGTGCTGCAGAAGGCACCCCGCAAGGGCAACCCTGTTTGGGGTCGGAACTGGGAGGCTGGGAAGCCCGTCTGTCCGTCAGTCCCCCCTTCCCTCCAGCTGCCTCAGCAGCCCTCAAGAGAATCCACCCTCCCCTCGGACACAAGCCCTGCACAGGGTGCCACGGCTCACAACTTCACCCTCACCAGAGGGACAGCAGGCCAAAAAGCTCAAGCAAGGGGGGTGGGTGGAGAAGGCAGGGGAACCCCTCCCCACGGCCGCCCATCCTCACAGGCCCTGATTCTCTCCTCCTCCTCCCGCCTACGCACAGCCCCAACCCCAGAAGCAACCAAGCGAGGGGAGGCGCGTGGCCAAAGCGGGCCAGTGTGGCAAAATCCTCTTCCCTCAGGCTCCTGGGACCGGTCGCGTTCCGGTGGCGGGGGCACCAACCACGGCCCACGGCTCCCTCCCCCCTCCCTGCACCAGCCCCCTTCAGGTGTGCAGAGTCCCCAGCGTCACAATCTCAGCTGGCCGCAATGGGGGTGGGGGGAGGAATGGCGACACGAGCTCTTCTTCAGCCGTCCGCACGCTTGGTTGGAGAGCCCGGGGGGGGGGGGGTCCTAGCAGGACAGGTGGCCACCGAAGGAGACCGCGGCTACTGGGCAGAGGCCCCAGGAGGTGGAGCTTCACGGGGAGGCACACCCGCTTCTGCCTCAGAAGCCACCCCGCCCCCGCCTCCCACCTGCTGAGCCACGGGAAAAGGGCCAAAAGGCCCAAGGGACGCCAGGCGGGTGGGCAGCGGTCCCTGAGCCAGTCCGGGAACAGCAGCAGCAGCAGCAGCAGCAGATCAGCAGGGCAGCAGCAGAGGCGCTGGGCCCCTCCCCGCCTCCAGCCGGGCCACACGAAGGCACTTCAGTCCAGGCGACCCTCTCGGTCAGGTGCTGGGCTCCCTCTGCCTGGGCAAGGCAAGGCTCCCACCCGCTCCAGCGACTCAAGGTGTCCAGACTGGCCCTCCTCCTCCGCCAGGCACACCACCTCCGAGGAGGGTGGGGAGGAGAGCAGAGCTGGGCAGGAATGACGACGAACCACAGCAGAGGACAGACACGGCGGGAGCTGTGCTGCTCCGGGTGGGACCCCCAAGGCACGTTCTGGTCGAGGCGGCCGAGGGACCACCCCCGGCAGGGGGGTGCGGGTGGGGAATGGCGCAGCGGCAATCACTTTTCCGTCCTCCGGCTGCACGTTGGGGGGGAGGCGGCTCAGCCCGGGGGGCTACGACGTCTGGCACTGGACGTTGTGGCGCACGGGATCCTCACACTCATCCTCCCGGTAGGCCTCCCCGGTGAAGTGCCGCCCGTGGTCCAGGTGGGGGAAGTACTCCCGCAGCTCCACCTCTTCCGTGTCTTCCGTGGCCATGACCTCCTCGCGGCGTGGGAAGAAGGCCTGGAACTGACGGAGCTGGTGGGTGGGGAGCCAGCCGGGCTCCGGGAACTTCACCTGGGCCGGAGGAAGGACGAGGCGCCCTCAGGGGTCGGGTCTTCCGGGGGGGGGGCATCCTCCCCCCTGCTCCCAGAGTACAAAGCCCTCCTTCTCCTCCTCCCTCCCGCCTGACCCCAGCCTGCTCTGCGGCAGCCACTAAGTCAGGGACCCGGCCCTGTTCACCTGCCCGCCCGCCTTCCCCAGCCACCAGGCAATCACACACACACACACCCCCGGGGGAAGGGAGGATGGCGTTCTGTATGGGGCCAAGACCACGGGGGGGGGGGATGGCCTGGGCTCCAGCACCCGCCTTCTGCATGGAGAGGCACTCGCAAGGCCCGCACAGTGTTACAATACCTTGAACTGGATGATGAGCTTCCCCTTCTGGGCGGGGCTCCGGTAGACGGGCATCCCTTCGTTGGGGATGCACTTGATGTCTCCGGGCTTGATGATGGCTCCTGCGGGGCAGGACAAAGCCCAGGATGAGTTCCCGTGCCACCCCACGGCACAACCTTACCCGTTCCGTGCCTCTACGCCAGCCCGAGGGACCAGCGCCACGTCTTGCCACGCGAACCAGCCGGGAGACCCCCCCCCCAAACATCCACGCCCGAAGAATCATTTGGGGCCGCTCAAGAGCTCCAGCCGAACGCGGGTCCAGAAGCGACCTCAAGGGCGGACAAGACTTCCCTGGGGATTCATTCACTCCCCGCAGCCAAAGCTTCCTTTGCCGGTCTGACGAAGGCAGAACTCCTCGTACCCTCCCACCCCACCCTCCAGAATCTTGTCGGTCTCTCTGGGTCTCTGCCGCCCCATCTGACACGGTCTTCAAGAGCTCCCCCCCCCCGCTGCCGTGGCCGGTGCCTCCCCCAGCCTCTGCTGCCACCCGAGGGAGCTCTTTTGCACGGCCGCTTGTTGAAGGTGGAGCAGAAGTGGATCCTTGAGACCCCCCCAGGCCCGGCTTCTCTCAGGGGACCACCCAACCTACCCCCCCCCCTGCTCCAAGCACCCCCTTTCCCACGGCCAAAGGCCTGGGACCAAAGGACCCGCCTTGCCCACCTGGCCGGGAGGTGACGAGCAGCCTCCGGTTATCGAGGGTATGGATGACCGTCTTGCAGCCACAGAGGGCGTCCACCAGGTCGATCTCCTTCTTGACAATCAGATCGTTGCCACGGCGCTGGAAGACCGGGTGCTCCTTCTGGTCGAGGACGATGACAATGTCTCCCGGCTCCAGGCCCGGCCCTTGATCCCCTTCCTGGTGGAAAGTGATCTTCTGCCGGTCGGCCATGCCTGGGGGGATGTGTTTGTTTTTGTTTTCATTTAGAAGAAGAAGAGGAGGAGGAGGAGATTGGATTCATACCCCATGGCCCTTCACTACCCAAAGGAGTCTCGGAACGGCTTACAAACTCCTCTCCCTTCCCCTCCCCACAACAAACAGACAGACACCCTGTGAGGGGGGTGGGGCTGAGAGAGCTCTTTTTCAAGAACAGCTCTTATCAGAACTATGGCTTGCCCAAGGTCATCCAGCCAGGTGCAAGTGGAGGAGTGGGGGAATCAAACCCGGCTCTCCCAGATTAGAGTCCGCGCACTTAACCACGACAGCAGACTGGCTCCTAGAAGGAGGTGGGGGGGGGGGGGGGGGGGGGGGGGGGGGGGGGGGGCTGAGAGAGCTCTGACAGAAACGGCTCTCTTTCAAGGACAGCTCTTGTCAGAGTTACGGCAGCAGGGGCTCCCTCTGGGGTCATCCAGCCAGTTTCTGCCTGCCTCTTGCGGATCCCACAGAATGCGTCTGCCCTTCGTAACCCCCAAGGGGGCTGTGGGTCTGGCAGCCAAGCCAGCAGGTGCCCCTGAATGAGCAGACGTGGCTCAGAAGAGATGTGCCCGGGCCGGCCGGCTGCCTGGGGGCACCGAGAAAGCCGGCCACGGGGGCCACCACCAAGGGGATTTTAGGGCACTGGTCTGATTCTTAAGAAAAGCAGGAGGGAGCAACGGTAGCGCGGGGGGTTGGGAGGGCTTTTTATTTCCTGCGACCACCGTGAGACAGCGGACCGAGAGGGGGCCTCCGGAGCCCATGGGGGCTTGCTCACCTCTGTCCAGGTGGACGCTGAGGGCCTTCTTCTCCCGGACCACCTTCCTCCCGTTGCAGGCCAGGCAGCGGTCCAGGGGCCGCATCCACTCCCCATGCCCCTGGCACTGCGGACACATCGTCTGGATGTGGTGCACCACGTTGGGCGCCAGCTGGTGAACAATGACCTCCACGCCAGAGCCGTGGCACTTGGGGCACCGCGTGTCGAGGCCTTCCCTTCCTCCGCGGCCTGAAAAAGACCAACACATTCCAGAGGCCTAGAAGAAACCAGCAATCTGGGCTCCAAAGGAGTGACAAGCGCTCCTACTGGGGAAGCTGCCTGAACACTACTTGGAGACACGTGCGGGCAACACACGTCTGGCCAGAGGCTCCGGAGCACTCCTCGTGGCCAGGGAACAGGACGGTCGCTGTGGCTCCACCTCTCTGCCCCACGCTGGAGAAAGAGAAGGCAGGCCCCACAGCCTTGCAGGCAGGGGTGGCCACGCTTGCTTCACGTAACAGTGACACAGAATAAACGTCAGATGTTTGAGAGCCACGAGACATGAACTAATATTACACACATGATTTTACTGAAAAATATGCACATTTGCTTTTCATTAACATTAAACGAGACTGGCAAAAATAAAAACAAAAGGGGTAAAAAGAGATGTTGATGTTTGTTTGCTGATGATATTTCCTTGTCTGAGAGAGAGAAAGAGAGAGATGGAAAGAGAGAGAGAAAAGCAAAAAAAGCAACTAGATGGGGGAAGGAAGGAAGAGAGAAAAAGGTGGAAAGAAAGCAAATAAATGGGGGAGGGAGCAAGGAAGAGGGAGAGAGAGAAACAAAGAATGCAAATAGATGGGGAGCCTTCCAGGATCCACACAATATGTGTGAAAGAGCCACATGTGGCTCCCAAGGCCCCCCCCTCCTCTCAGCCCTCCTCACTTACCGCTGCAGCTCCGACAGATGACGTTCTTTTGCAGGGACAGCTTCCTCGTGGCCCCACTGTACAAGTCCTCCAGGGTCACGGGCAGCTGATGCACAGTCGTCTTCCCTGAGAGACAGCAGAAAGGGAAACTAAGCTGACGCTTCCCGCCCCTTGCTAACGGGACTCACTGGACGCGGGGGGCCCAGCTCCCGTCCCTGCTCAGCCCAGAGGCTCACACCAGCGGTCCGGCCCAGGGGAGGAATGTGCCCGTCCCGCCTGGCCTGACCCGCTCTCCCAGCTTGCCTCCTATCGAGGACATTGTCACCCCCACCCTCCTTCTCAGGAGCTTGGGGTGGCACGCCTCGGCCTCCACACACCCCTCCCTTTATCCTCCCAGCAGCCCTGTGAAGAGTGGCGGAGGCTCTCAGGGCTCGGCAGCAAGGACTGGAATCCGGCTCTCCCAGATCTTAGGCTGATATAACACTAACCACTGTGTGGCCCTTGGATCCCTCCCTCTCTTCTTCAAGAAGGAGAATCTCCGTGGCCGTCGTAGAGTTTTACACTCCTTACAAAGCAAGGAGACCAGACCCCGGCTGTCTGGAGTCGTGGAAGCGGGACATGAGCCTAAATCGGCACCCATTCCTTCAGGGCATCCAAAGGGCTGAGGGCCGCCCAGTTCCCAGCTGGCCCCTTGTGGAGTGGTCCACAATCCGCCTTCTGGCCTAGAGGGAGCCGCCTCCTCTCAGCCTAGTCTACCTCGGAAGGCTGCTGTGAGGATAAAGGACAAAGTCCGGAGAGACAGTGGGAAGGACCCCAACGGACACAAGTGCTAACAAACTGAAGGGGGGGGGGCTAGAAAAAACAGTACGAGACTCCTCCAAAGCCAGGGCTGAAGAGCACTGCCCACCTCCGCCTGAGTGCAGGTTTCTCCCATGGAGGGAAAAGGTCACCAGGGGCGAAGAAGGGCTCCGGGGGAGAGAGTCAGCCCAGTGAACCCGAAGGCAGGGGGGCAAAACCGCCAGGAGGCGCAAAGACACCCGTCCTCCGGAGTTATCCCGGCAAGTCGCACAGGAGATAAAGCCAGCGAGGAGCCAGTGGCTCCGGAGTGGTGGGGGAGGAAGGTCCAGGGAGCCAGGGAGCCATGACGGCACCTGCAACTGGGGCCGGCCCCCGAAGGTCTCACCCCTGGCCCCGGACCAAGCAGAGCGGCCTGCCCCAAGGCCCGCCCTCTGGAGGGCACACCCCGCATTCTGCTCCAGCTGGCTGGAGAAGAGTGGCTCCAGAATGGTGAGGTCAGCACTTGCCGGCACCCCTCCCCTCCCCACCCACCCAGCTGCTGTCTGCAGGGCAAGGAGCCATCCCCAGAGATGACTCAGCTGGATGTGCGGCAGTCAAAGAGGTGAGGAAACAGGCAGGGCTGGTTCCCGTCCTGCCCCAACAGCCTCCGCAGGAGAGCAGGTGGAAGCGCTCAAGACGGAGGCCGCCTCCCCCGGCCCTGACCTGGATAAGCCTCGGCGGATCGCGGAAGCTCAGCCGGGCCCACCCGGGCGAGGACCCAGACCGTGGGAGACCTCCAATGAACACCAGGGCCGGGAGGCAGAGGGAGGCGATCCAGCCATCTCTCCAAACGCCCTCTATGCCCCGGTAGGAGTCGCCAGAGGTCGCCATGACTTCCAGGCACAGGGGGGCGCACACACATACACACACACAAAGAAACCCCAAGCCTCCCCTTTGCGCCCTCGGCAGTACCTCTCCGCTCCACCCGGGGCCCGTGCATGCGGGCCCCTCCGCCAAAGAACAGGTCAAAGATATCCATGGGGGGGCCAAAGCCTCCTCTGCCCCCCACGCCTCCTTCCTTCATGGCCCGCTCCCCACCGCGGTCATACAGCGACCTCTTCTGGGGGTCGGACAGCACCTCGTAGGCCTGGGAAATCTGCTTGAACTGGAGAGCAGGGGAGGGGGGGGAGAGAGAGAGAGGCAGCCGTTAACGGGCCTGGCCCGCCGAATCCCCCCCTCCCCAAGTCCTTGCTTGGTACCTACTCGCTCCCCCTCACTGGGGTTCTTGTCCGGGTGGTATCTCAGTGCCAGCCGCCGGTAGGCCCGCTTGATTTCTTCTATGGTGGCACAGGGCTTGACCCCCAGCAAGTCATAGTAGCCAGTTTCCTTCACCATCTTCCCTCGTCAGCCAGTCCACTGCTGGGGGGGGGGGGGGGGGGGGGGGCAAGGGGCAGGCGATTGAGAGATGAGCAACCTGGAGCCGGGGGCTTGGAGCGCTGCCTCACCCCGGCCCCCCCTCCAAACCCGCCCCCAGGCAGCAGAGCCCCCCTTTCCCTAAAGACGCAACTGCCAGTCCTTCCAGAACAGCCACTCAAGTTCAAGTGAGGCCCCTGGTCTGCTTTGGAAGAGAGCCTCCAACACGGGGTTCACTCCCACTTGAGGGAAGCGCCCCTTCGGAGCCTCCCGCCACAGGATGGAGGTCTTGCAGAGCCCCTCTCTGGGGCCAAGGCCAGCCACGAGGACACTCTCCCCCCCACACACATCCAGCTCCAACCTCCGGCAGGCCCTCACTGAAGACAGCCAGGCAGAAGCCACGTCCAGCCCCAGAGGACCCGCCGCCCAGCCCAACAGGCCGCCTAATTAAGAGCCGTGGAGTGGGTTGGCGTCAGGCGGCGCCTTCCAGGCCAACAGGAGGGTGTGTCAGGCGGTGAGGATGCTTATTACCCCAGCTGCCTCACAGGATGAGTGAGCGTGTCTGCCCGCCCGCCTCCCCGGGAAGCCCTGCAGGGCACCGAGTGCGAGAGAGGCCGTGGCAGAGGGGCACCTGCCAGAAGAGCAGGAGGCCAGCCAGCGCACACCCTGCCCTCCACCCCCCCTCTGCCGGGCCCAGTGCAGATCCAGGCCCCTCCTTGCCCTTCCACCGCCATCTCCCCCTCAAAGGCGGCGGGCCCCTCCACCTCACCACGTGTCCCAGTGCAGCCACCCTCCTGGCCCAGCACTGCCACAGGCAGACTTTCCCTTCAGTGTTCCTCTGGTCCTCTAGGCAATTCTCCGGCACCGCCCTGGAAACAGGGCCACAGGCTGTCTCTGCCCCTTCCCTGGGCCGCAAGTCCAGATCAGCCGGGGAGGAGGGGATTGGACAAGGCCGCTCTCCCCACCGTGATGTCCTGCGGGATCCTCAGTGAGAAGCAGGCTCAAGGCGGCACCTGGCCCTGCCTCCCTCTCTGCAGCGAGCCCTGCCCAACCTACAACCCGGCCAAGGCCGCAGGGCAGACTCCGCACTCCACCCAGCCTGGGGCAGCAGGCCTGCTCCGCAGGGCCAGGAATGAGGCTGCACGCAGAGCCCCCAATTTCCAGCAATCTCCGGCCACGAGGAAGGCTGCGTCAGGCACCCAGCGACATCATTCCAGCCACCTCCAGATCCATCACTGCCACTTAAAATTCCTCACAGACAGTAACCAGCACTTGGGATGCGCGACAGATCCAAGATGACGAATAAACGTCAACAACAGTCATCCCTCTAGTCTGCCAGCTGTTTTGCAAAGGGGAGGCCCAGGGAACTCCCTTGTGACAGCGTGACACAACGGGCTGAAGGCCTGATCCTGCAAAGCACTGGGCGTCCCATCCCCTCCACCCCCCCAGCCCGGACTCCCATGGAAACTGCTCAGCCGCTTGCAGAAACCCTCCGGGGGACCCGGCAGGAAAGTTTCAACTCACACGTTGCTAAACGGAGCCCAGGCTCAGCTTTCTCAGGCAGGGAGTGAAACCACTCACCGGGCACAGGCCGCCTCTGATCTGAGAAGCAGGGCAAGCCGCAAACACAAAACCCCACCTGCCCTCTCCACCCCCCTGCGGATGATGCTAGGGAGGGAGGGAGGGACTGGTAAACACAAGCCACGGGGAGGCTGCCTCTCAGGACCACAAGAAAGGTGCGCCCGCTCCTCTCCCCCCCCCCCTCGGGCTGGGGCAGAACAAAGTCTTGA